AAGTAGTACAACAAAAAACTTAGACGATGAAATAAAACATATAGAAGAGGTGTTGATGTTAAATAACTATCCTATAAAATCCATTAGAAATAACAAAAGAGGTGAAACGCAAATACAAATGATGGTGAAAATAATAATGATAACATAAATAAGAGAGAATATAAGGCAGCTACGGCTGTACCATATAAGGAGGGAACATCTGAAACCCTACGTAGAGTTATCAGAAAAGCAGGAATTTGGGTGGCATTTAAACCTACAAACTCACTCAGGAACAAGCTCTGTAGGCTAAAGGATTCTGTTGGTTGACTCAATTCGACCAAATAATATAATTTACAAAATACCTCCCAATCACTGTGAATTAAGTCAACTACATAGCTCAAACCAGTAGATCGGGAGAGGGTGGTCTGACTGTCAGAACATCAGAATTTTTCCAAATGCGCATTTTAGATTTTCCTGTCGAATGATTGGACCGAAATGCGCATCCTGGATTCCACTGCTAGTCACCATCCACAATTTAAATTCTAATTAAATGCTAAGACATCGTCGAAGCATCTGCACAAGAAGCCGACATGTCAACCTGAGACCAAGGACTTCGGTCCAATCAATCGACGGGAAAGTCTCAAATTCAATTAAATCTAAAGTTTAATTAAATATAATCGTGTTTGAACAGGAATTTAAATCACATGTTCACAATTTCTGACCTTTTTCATATGCGTTAACAAAATATGCAAACAGCAAAGATTCACGATTCAGAAAAAAACGTGTGTAAAATACAAACAATGGTTCACATTCTTCCTTATTCGATACACTAAAGATGACAGTTACTAGATAAAATAACAATATTGATTAGAGTACATTTTACTTGTACTTCTTTCTCCAGTCTGTCAGCTACTCCTACTCCTGTGGTATTTTCTTCTTGTAGTAATCTATATAAGTACTATTGGGACGGTAGAAGACGAAAGACTTGGCAAAGGAATGTTTATTCGCAATTTTGTATCTCTATATAGCCAAATTATGTACACCTTATCTTCAACGCACCATTTGCACACATCTTCCGTGTTGTGCTACTTCTGGCCTACATATTGTGTTTCTTTCACGTCTTCCGCGACCCGCTGTATCATTTGCTTTCTCTGCCATCAGATCTATCTCCCGGCTATTTGATGTTTTAACACCGATGAAAGTTCCTCTATGCAGTACTGATGAATTTCATCAGTACTATACGACATAAGATGAAGTGCGATAATGAAAGAATTGATACAGATTGGTAGCCAGTTAGCTGAGTGAAGAAATATTAACTTTTCAATTAGATTCTCATCTCTGGCTCTACACTAACGTATGAAGCATTTTAAAATGAACTGTCGTCAAGATTTGACAGAATAGTTCTAAAATATTTGGGCGCCGAGTGAGAAGTAGACATTTGTAAAAAATTATATTTGTAAAATCTCAGCGAGATTGAAATGAGTAATTCCAACGTTTCGTTCGCCAATCTGGTCCGAACTTCTTTAGGGAAATTAATCGAAATTAACATAACAGAGGTTTATATATAAAAGGAACATTTCTTGTTTCAAAAACTTTGTCCAATCATGATTCATAAAACAAGTATTAACAAGTATAATAAACAAAATTGTATGAGCGGTGATCAAAATTTGACCTCGGACTTACAAATATTGGTCTACCTTTGTTGAACACTTTAAACAGAGTGTGCATGCATGTGTGTGTAAACAGTTGTAAAACATCTCTTAACGTCTCCATAGGAAGATATAGACAGTCAGGAATTTGACCAAGTATTATTAATTAGTGATACATATCCATTATTATTTATTAATCAGGATTTCCTATGCATCAGCTAACATCTCGCCTGCATGTCTCTTCAAACTACTAGTATCTAGAATTTGATGATTAGACGTATTTTCAAAATTATTGTGTTTAGGATTAGAGTTTAGTTTAAGCACCCTGTCGAACTTATTGCATTGTCTTCTTTATGAATATTGAGCTGCTTCATTCGACCTACTGGAGTTGTGAATCTCGCTGAGATTTTACAAATATAATTTTTTACAAATATCTACTCCTCACTCGGCGCCCAAATATTTTAGAACTATCCTGTCAAATCTTGACGACAGTTCATTTAAATTATTTTGCAATCGAATTAAATTAACAAAGAAAGTGTGTAATTGGCACAATCATCGTGTTTTCACTCTCCGTTGTCTGCAACAGAATGCATATCCTAAATCCGTAGCTGTCGAGTCACCCGACAACACCATAATTTTGAAAATACGTCTAATCATCAAATTCTAGATACTAGCTGTTTGAAGAGACATGAAGGTGTGATGTTAGCTGATGCATAGGAAATCCTGATTAATAAATAAAAAATGGATATGTATCACTAATTAATAATACTAGGTCAAAATTCCTGACTGTCTATATCTTCTTATGGAGACGTTAAGAAATGTTTTACAACTGTTTACCCACACACGCATGCACACTCTTTTTTAAAGTGTTTATCATAATACACAATTTTAACTAATAAAAATACCAATTAAAATTTCTTCAAAAGAATGATTAGTGGACAAACAATATCCTTCTTCATCACGTTCTACATTGATATATACATAATAGTCGATGAATTAGTGTAATTAGCAACATTAATGTTGTTTAAATAACATAGAATCAATAATAATATCAATGGATTACAGTTCAATAGCGTCAGCATAACAATACACTGATTGAATATCAGAGGAATTAGGAAGTCATATAATTACGAATTCATTAATTTATAGTCTCCACTGAAGTCCGGCCAAAGCATTAGTAGTGATGGCCAAACTTGCTTCATCTGCAAACAGAGCATCAGTTGTTTAAGGCGAATCCCGATAGACTCTGCTGTTTGAAGTATGCGGTACCTGGATGCTTGTAGCAATTTATTTGGTAACCGGTAGAAGATAAAGAAGGATTCTTCAATGCTGGCTCTGGAGCCTGTTGGGACCACGTGGTCTAATATCGAAGTGCTGATGGTTTCTACTACATCTTTGTTTAACCACAATCGTAGATGTTCCCGAGCGAGCACGAAAAATCAAGTTCCTAGAGCAACGGCCAATATGACTCGCTCAACCACAAGCGGAGCTGAATTGGTAGATACAATTAGAAGAGGTTAGTTTAGTCTAGGTACTTCATCTTGCAATTGAGAAATCACTACCGACTGTGTAGTAAAAAAGACTTGTGGTTCACCAGCATTAAGTGTTCTTTCAACTGATTTTCTCAACTTCGCAATTATTTCGCTAGATTATCACCGTTGAACTGCAGTCGTATGTATAAGGGCTTCTTGTTTACGGATAATGAATAGTCCTTTTCCACTTAGTCAAATGCTACCTGATGAATTTCAATCATATGCAATCCTTAGTTCCTCGTCAATAACGTCTTCTGAGCATATAGCTGTGGCTGAGGGTCCACTTGATTGGCAAATTGTTGTGTAATGTATTGAAAATGCTAAATGTATTAAAGTAGAGTCAGAGATGAGGATCTAATTGGAAATTAAATATATACGAGCTCGGCTTGTAACCGGAAGGTCCTGGGTTCGAATCCCGGTGGGTGCGTACTGATGAAGAGTCCCAAACTAGGACGAAAAAGCTGTCGAGTACTCCCAGCTGGTTTTCCAATGGTTTTCTAACTAATGTCAGCTCATGATGAAAATCCTGTAACCAGCCAAATCCCTACAAACCAACACTTAAATATTTTTCGCTCAATCCTTTTACCTTCGAAAGAATAAAGGCTTGGATACAGTAGCAAAGGAGTTAAGTAATAACGACAAATGGTGAATAATTACGAAATTGGATGAAAATATAGTGAGTTCAGCTCAAATCATAGGAGCAACAGCCAAGCCAAGGTACACTATAGCGAAGGGGGTGGGGATAATCTTACTGTGATCTTCTCTTCTTTCACTTAACTTCAGCTTAGATGAATAACGACTTGAAATTACGCAAATGTGTTAGCAGCTGTCATTTCACTGCTGGGTTTTGTTGTGCTTATTACAATGACACTGTATAGCCTTTCGATAGGAAGACGCTATTTATTTGGATAGGGGACTGACTGACAAATATCATAAATTCTGTAATATACATCTGACATCTCATAGAATTAAAAAAATACGCTGGTGTAATAAAGGTAGAATTAAGACAGATTCAACATTATTCGACTAATCTCCTATTTTAACATCATAGAAAACCTATCAAATCTCATGAACGGAGCAGAAATGCCCTGCATACATCATCTAGTACACACAGCTACTTATTTGCTTATACGTAATCCACTTTAAGAAACTACAAATAGGCAACTGAACGATTTACGAATAATCGATTAGCTTAAAAGAAGTATTTTTATCACTAACTCTGCCTTCAACTAGAGAACCCTTGAGAGCTATACAGCAGCAGTTGCGCCAAGGATTGAGACGCTGTACAACTCTTTGGGAGATAGATAGAACCACGGGCGAAGTGAACATTATCATTAACATGTCTGAGTATATGGTTGGCGTGTGAACTACCCCTGTCAAAAGTAAGATAGATGGTGACGAAGCACTCACTAGTCTACACCAACTCCAATTTTAAGAATACAGAGTGAAATGATTGGATGCATTGACTATTTGACTTATTAGAGGAGTTGTATCAACCCCTCATGGAATGTTAACTCATGCAATGGATATAAAAGATCCAATTGATGTTTGCCAACCTGCACATCGTAATCATCATTATCGGTTTAGTGGTGGAACTCATCTATCCACTAAAGGATGAGCGTACTGAGTAGTAATTCGCTTCGTCTGACTTACCATCTGCGAGACACGGCCATCGAAGATGAAGGAAATGAGACTATACGTGCTTTGCTTATATTAGGCGGTGAAAGCAAATCAGTGGGATTAAAGAACTGCATCGATTAACATTGTGTTTTGTTAGCAGAGTTCCCGCCTTCCTCCATGAGCAGTGATCCCAAATCAGGACGAAACAACCATCCAATACTCTCTGGTAGACAACGAAAAACGCAAGGGTGAAGTGATATGACAGCATAACTTTCAGTTTACTAGGCTAATAATTTTATACTTTTAAAGTTTCTAGTCCGATAGAAAATTTCTTTTTAAGAAAAATCATTAGTTAGCCAGCTTTATTTTCAAACAAATGTGAACTGAATGGAAGAGAGAAAAAGAAATCAATATTAGTGAAAATTTGAGCAGAATATTACATTTATAATGGTATTTGACAATGCTAGCTAGTTATGTATATATATGTATGTGCGCACAATTAATTCAACACGATTTAATTTAACATATGCAAGTGGTTAAATGTTTCATGTCAACATTTGTTATTTTATCCTGATGAAGTAGGGAACACGGAGAGAGAGACAAGAGAGAGAGGTCAATGCAAACACAAAAACAAAGAAATACTCAGTAAACAGATGAACACATTTCTTTCAAACCAACAATTTTATATCTTGATATGATGATGATGATGATAACGACAATGATAAGGGGAACGCCACCTCAACAAGTATCTATCCCACATAAAAAAATAACAAAATACAATACAGAATATCCCAATTACCGGAAACGGGAAGCGAAATGTACAACTGACTGACTGACTGGATCATATGTGTAGTCCATTCGCAGGATAACAATAACAAAGGAATGTTAATCAACTCCATGTACATGTTTACACGCACAACAACAACAATAATAGTAATAATAATAATAGAGATGCTATAATGTACATATGTTCTAATAGTAATAATAACAACAAGAATGATGATTAAAAAATGTCTACTGAAACTTACAAAAATGACTAAATAATAAATGCTTGGAAGTCAGTTGTGAATGCAGAATACAGATTTGATATTATGACACACCAAAAAACAAATACATATATATATATTATAACTGTCCATTATCTATAATATATATATAGAGAGATAACAGCTACAAGAAACATGTTATTTTCCTTTTTCCATAAGAATAAACCAAATCGATGACAAAAACAACAGAGAGAGAGAGGGAAAAAGAAGACAAAGTGAAGCTGAAGAATGTCAACAACAACAACAACGAAAAAGGTAACTACTACTACTACTCTACAATAACCACCGCGACACATCCCTTCCATTTTCGAGTTTTATCAAATTGACACTACTTAGGGTTAATGCAAAAAGAGACAACGCAAAGATACGTTAAAATAAAACGAAACAAAAGTATACTGTATTGTATTGCATTCATTGCTAATTTCTGGATAATCTTCTCTCTAATACGCTAACATAACCAGTATGGATGCGGTGGACAAAATCATCATCCGTCTGTAATGTAAAGCAAAAAAAAAAACAAACAATAATGAATATTAACTTTCTGTTGGTTAGTAATGGTTGAATATACACGTTTGTGGTTCAGTGGTAGAACACTCGCCAACTACACACACACACATACACAAACACACGTGATACGGATTCTACTCCCGGCAGACGTACCCCCTAAACCTTGCTTAATCGGAAATAAGTCCGGTTGGATGTGAGGTTAGAGCAACTCTACCCCGTAAAAACAACAGCACCCCATTACTGAAACTTCAGGCCTCAAGCTCCACTCGGAAAGCAGAGGAATGAAGAAGAGTGCTACTTCACACAGTTAATCAATTCTCCTTAATGATGACAACTCTATATAATATACAAGTATTAAACTATCATCATCATTTTTTTTTATTACAGCTTGATTCCACATCGTATTTATTGGTACAAGTATGGAATTTTCAGCATGTGATATCGGTAGCCCAAATTTTGCAGGCCGACCATAGATATCAGGTGTGCGTCGGCAGGGGATCGAACCCCGGACCATGTGCATGGTCGGCGAGAGTCCTATCCACTAGTTCATCTCTAAACCTTTTCATCTTTGATGCGTGTAATTTATGAAGACCATTAGAACAATTAAAGACAGGTAATTTGCGACAGCATAGACCCTCGACTACAACGAGAGGTATTTTTACGGAGGCATGAATAACTTGAACAATGCTAACGGTTTAATGTACATATTGTGATAATCACATCAAGATTGTAAGATTTGGATGAATTTAATTTTAATTGTCAGATATTTCTTCACGAACCATTAATCTTCAGATCACTGACGGCTACTGAATGAATGTCCTGGAAAGTTGTAACCCAGTGGGGGGGGGGGGTCCACCACCATGTCAAAGTGCCATCAAAGACATTGGTGAGGGTAGTTCTATATCACTGATTCACGAATCATTACTGAATTTCAGCTCAAGTAGCTGAATGGTCAACAGACTTGCTTTTTTATAACCTGAAGGTTCTAGGTTCAATCTCTGGTGGGGGGGGGGGGTGGTTGTGAGTGTGCGCTGCTTAAGGTTCACAAAAGGATGAAACAGTTGTTTAGTGCTCCCTGGTTTTCAATCACATCTCTAACTGCGATACTGTTTCGTGAACAAATCCAACAACTGGAATTTCTGATTCACTGGGAGGAAAGAGAATGGCTACACTAATGGACCTTGAAAGCATAGATTTCGATTAACCAGAAAATATAAACTAAATAAAGTAGAACTTACTTGCAAAAGGTGGATCAGGGTCTCTTTTAATTGATCTTTTGTCAGACATTCACTGGAAAGTGTTCTCTCTGTGGATATAGTGGGAGTTTTATTTTCTTGGAATGAACCACTACCAAGTGCATGCTGCTTATCGCGTTTCAGTTCAGGATCGAATGCCGGTAAAATAGATGATGGATGATTAGTTAACATATCAGGTGTAACAAGTATTTCCTCTCCTATAATCGTATCACATATTGATTTGTTATCTGTAGACTTATTACGGCTGGTTAACCGACTACTACTAGATGGTGAAATCATTTCATCAGATAAATTATCTTGTTGATGACGCAAATGTCGTCGTTGTTTACGTTGTCCTACACCATAGGACTTTGGCAAACTACGATCATGATTACTCTCACTTTCCATATCATCTATATAACCAGCATCATCACTGAGTAAGCGACGATTTCGATCAATGTGACCTTCTCTACGAGCTTGATGACGATGTGCCGGAGATTCTGAAGCCGATGCATGTGATAAACCCTGATCATCTGTAGAACTATCGTCTGTTGGTGTTACTGCTTTTAATTCATTACAAAGCTTTGACAGTGAAATCAGCTGATTGACACTTTTAGGAGCCTAGAGAAATTGGGGATGACAGAATAAATGACACAATAATTTAAAATTAGTGTGATATAAATATCAAACTATTGAAAAATAACTCGTGTCATAAAGTACTAAAATTGATGAAAACGTGTGGCAGAAAAATTAAAAAATTCAAAGAAAAAGTGCACCAAAGACAGTCAGTTACAGAATAAATTGCACATTATAACGTGTAAAGGCCTCGAGAAAAATTTCAAAATCGGCCACGTGACTCAATATTAAGACGTATAAAGTCATGATTTGATGGACTACTCAGTTAATGTATCTCTTGAGTCAAGTATTACCGAAGTAACAAGAGCGTTAACCTTCCAGCATCCAAATTATACGTTATGTGATTGTATACACTACATGTTATCCACAATCATATTCCAGTACGTTCAGTGAATGTTGCAATCAGTATTGATGAAACTCATATACGAATAAAGATGTATGTCATTTCAAACAAATAATATATGACTCATAGCTTAAAACCTCGCCTAGATTACTAGGTCACTAGTATTCTAGCCGGTCCCAAGCCCGGATAAAGAGGGAGGGTTGGGGCGTGGTGCTAGCAACTCCACCCCCAAAACTTAACCAAATTGCTACAAAAACTTCAACGCACAAATATATTAAAAATTCTAAAAGTACAAACAATAACCTTATTTTTCGCTGGAATCGGGGAAGTGAAATGACGCAGGCTGGTGAAAGCCTTCGGGAAGCCAGTCAGCCGATGTGCCTTCTTTCGACGAAAGCAAAAATAAGGATGGGGACGTGGAATAAACAAGAACCAAACGCTCAACAAATATGCAGGAGAAAGTGGAGATGGATTGGACACTCACTGAGGAGGCCGCTGGGTGACATCGCGCGTCAGATCCTCGAGTGGAACCCGAAAGGGAAGCGGCAAGTGGGACGTCCAAGGGTGACATGGAGAAGATCGTGTGAAGAGGAACTGAAACAGTATGGATTAACATGGATGCAAGTGAAAAGTAAAGCAGAAGATAGAAGCAAGTGGAGGCGTGCAGTTGAAGCCCTATGTTCCACTAGGAACCCAAGGGAACAATAATAATAATACATAGCTTAAAAGGAGTCGAGAGTTGAAACAATGATAGCATACTGAATCAGGAAATCCCTTATTTTACAAGCTGGAAAATGTGAAAGAAATGTTTAAAAATAACGGTAATCTATTGCTATGGACTTAACATTTTTTATTATTTACAGACATTTGTGGAGAGTGGATTACTTTTTTGGGAAACCGAAATGAATTAGAGAACCAATGAAAACTCAACAGCAATGTAACCGGTCAAAAACACGCACCCATTGATGGGTCACTAGGGGGTAACTAATTTCATGTGCCTAGTCCTTGGTGTACACTGAATTCTGACAGTCAATTTCCTCACCAAGCTAGGTGGCACGCCATCGCATTGCACTCTGAATTGAAGTTAGACGATTGGAAGTGCTGGACCTAGGTTTTGTACTTGCTGGTACTCATCAGTAAGATGTACCTACCACACTGAAGGACTGACTGACTGACTGGTTTCAACATAGAACTATGCACCGATATGCAGCAGCTCGAGTCCCCACACTTCACTTAGCATACAAAACCAGAGAAGAAACGCAAAGTAGAGACAGTAAACAGAGATATGAGCCAAAGAGAATAGTAATATCGAAGAACAATATAGTTTTATTGGATATTATAAGTCACAAGGAGTGGGTGTAGCTGCGCTCAAGGAATCCGTATCCCCTCTGAGACTAGAACCCAACTCAACTAGTGCTGCTACCAGGAAGGTAAACACTGATATCAGTTACTTTCTAGTGACCAATGAATGCATCTTGTAGGAAGTGAATCGTCAGCCCAAATAACTCAGTGGTAACATCTCTGGGTGACGCGGGTTCCAATATCAGCGGGTATATGAACTCCTTAAAGAATTCAGATATACTCTGTTCACAAACGGCAACTAATCGAGAAACGTTCGTTCAGGTCGTCCTGGCGGATACCACCAACCATCTAGCGCTCATTAACACTAAAACATTTCCCAAAAATGAATCAGACTGTTAAATCTATACAGTCTAGTCAAGTTTTTCCCAATAATTTGGAACCATTTGACAAACAGATGAGTTACTTAATACTATTCCATCGATGGTTTAATAGTAGATTACACAGTAGCCAGTCGGATGCTCAGGGTTCAATTCCCAGCCAACACCCTCCTAAACCTCCCTTAACCGGTTCTAAGTCCAGGAGAGAGGTAGGGTTGGATAGCGGAGTGGTAAGAATGAAAACATTTCTACTGAATGGTAATTGACATAAAAGTTAATTTTAACTGGAATACAGATAAGAATACAAGAACAACACACTTAGCCGAATAAACGTATCATTTTGTCCTACCAAACTTTTCCCAACTGCTCAACAACCTTAAAGTTTTATTATCAGAATATCAAAGAGAATTCGGTGTAGTTTAGTTAATTTGGCAGGAGATAATACTGATATACTAGGTAACTGATGCAAGAGAATTGTGTCTGAAAGATAAACAAGTTCAGCTCCAGTGCATTACTCTGCCAAGCTTGCAGTAGCGAAGAACGAGAGAAACACAAGTCTTCAATAGTGTAAGCGTTCCGTAATCCAGTAGACAACAGTCTTGATATTGCTGTGGATCTTGAATTGTTTATGTTTTGTTACCCTGTTATCATTTTTGCTTCCTACTCTTCGGCTTTTTCAGTAGTATTCGGCTTTTGTTCATCCTTTAACTGTTATAATTTCTTATATAACAAATTTTTTCATCTCTTTGAACAGTGAAAGTTGTCCAATTACCATTATTATCTCTACTAAGCAACAGCAAAGACATCCTAAGTGAATAAGTGCATGTTGAATTAAAATGTGCGATCTTCAGTACACTATGTTTAAAGGTGTATATATATCGATCCAATTGCTACTGTGGAGGTACTTACTATATTGGCTACTGCTGCTCTATAAACTTAATTTATCGTGCTCGGGAACACCTACCAGTGTGACTAAATAAAGATGTAGTAAAAACCACCAACAGTTTGAAATTAGACCACCTCATCCAAACAGGCCAAGAAGTTACAATTGAAAAATCTTATGGGATACCAAATACATCTGTAAAGGCCTTTAAATACCGACTATTCCCAACAGAAGAAGTCATAGTAATCTCCGTAAAACAACCGGAATTCTGAATACAAAACAAACGTGTCCAACTACTATTGCAATCTTGGCCTGCTGTGGAACTTATGAATTCATAAATTCTGTGTTCAGTCACTTAACTTATCTGATATTGAATTTAGTGTTATTTTTATGCACATTATTATTGCATACATATATGTTTGCAACTGTAATCCAGTGACTTCACTGATCCGACGTTATTTTTTTTTAAATTATTATCAGTAACAATAATCCTTCAATTATTATGTATATTGGTTGGAGGATTTCATCATGAGCTGATATCAGTTAGAGAACCATTGGAAAACCTGGGAGTACTGGACAGCTATTTCGTCCCAGTTTGGGGCTCTTCACCAGTACCCACCCATCGGGGTTCGAACCCAGGACCTTCTGGTTACAAGACGAGTTCGTAGACCTATAAGCCACTGGGACCCGACCCAATGTTATGGATATGTATAGCTGTAAAACCTGATGAAAAAGTTATCGAAAACAATATTCTTTGTACATTTATCACTCTTTTTGAAAATATATGAAATAAAATCATCATATTGTGAGGAATTCGTTATCCTTAGTGTATATGCAATTTTATCAATAACAGTATTTCTACGAAATAATAACATTCAAAAGGAAGGACTTCAGGCAAATGCAGAGAAAACGGAGATGACCAACAACAACAACAAGCACCAATCGCTTTCCATGGAAGCTATTTGAAATACATCACTCTTCACTTATCTAGACAGACATCGTTTCAACTACAGGTGGAACAAGAATCGGAAAGGTAAGACAGACATTCATCACTCTTAAATCAGTTTGTAAATTTCCTACATTCAGCATCTTCTTTCTTCTTTTTTCCTTGACGTTCCCCAGTGGAACATAGGGCTTCAAGCCACAGGCTTGAAGTTTCGGTAGCAGTGTTTATTTTACAGGATGGGGTTGCTAGCCTCATGCCCAACCTTTCCTCTTCACCAGCATTATTTCTGGCTTAGCGAGGTAAAGGATTGCGTCGGCCGGGGATCGAACCCCGGACCATGTGCATGGTCGGCGAGCGTCCTAACCGCTATGCCACCGACGCACAAGTGGAACATAGACATCACTAAATCGGAAATACATCCAAGAAATCTGAATAACTAATAGAAAGGACCTGAACTAAGGTTTATATCCGGTTGCAGTAAGATCCAACCGTTTGATCGATTAAGTGAATGCATACACCAATGAGTCACAGCTTTGTTATTTAATGAAGATTTTACTAATCAACTAATGCACTCTACATATATATATCCTACAATACGATTGTTGGACATGGTTAAATTTAAAAATATATGATTAAAATTTACACTTGTATCATCATTGTTGTTGTCTCCTATGATATTGATTTTTATCGACATGTGTATGTTATATATATTTCAGTGAAGGAAAGAAATAAACCAAACACTAACTCTAATAACACTAATGAGAAACAACAACAACTCACAGATATATGCTCCTGAAGTAATTTCTCTTCAAGCTCAACAACAGAAATATGATTGACAGCATGAGATGAACCAGTTCCTGGTTTATTTTTCTTATTACTTCTAAAATTGAAAGAAGAAGAAGAAAAAGAAAAACACATAAGAGATTTCTTTCTCTCTCTCTTCAAGTGAAAAAGAGATAATCACAACATCCTAACAACTGAATATTCAAACAAAACAGAGTTATAATAATCATTCGAATGGTTGAAAGAAGAGTAAGAGATATTCACTAATTGAGCAATTGGTGTTTAGGCTAAGATCTGTTTCATTAAGCCTACGAAACTCTTGTCTGATTTTAACAACACTAAATAAAATCCAGTACGATAATACGACACGGTATGTCACACACACACACACACAATCTTATACCTAGACTTACTTATGAGAAGTGAGCTTTATACGGCTAATAATGGACAAAGTGACCGACTTTCAACATGGAACTTGCACAGAAGTGCAGCAGTTCAAATTGTCACACTCGCGATGTAGCACACAACGAATAGTAATACGGATACGGAGGATGCGCGTCTGAGTCATTGAGAACGATTTTAAGCCATACTCAACGATAGTCTTCAGACATTGGTTCATAGCATCCCCCGCTTATAAGACTAATGAACTAATCTCTATTTCAAAGTCATTAAAAGATGAATGAGTTTAGCGAAATCAATATTATGCATGAAATATGATGTGAATATATACTACATTCTGTAATAGATCTGAAATCTATGTAAAGTAAAATGCGGGTTAGTAAAACAGCAGATGATGGTATTTTACGCTCTAGTTGATCAACTCTATGAACAATATATAATGACCACTGGTTAACTTAATAAGGTTATTTTGCATAGTACAAACTATCTAACATCAACTGAAACTATTTTGCTCAACATACAGTATTACTTTGATGTAGTTGTGTTATCTGAGCTGGATGGTTTATTTGCGAAGCTTTCATTGCCCATCAAGGCAACATCTTCAACGCATACTTCAATATCTGTTGAAGTGAGCACTTAGATTTCTCCATGAGTTTATAAGTCATCTCTCTCTCTTTGGTGAACTTGAACGTGATTGGTCGTTTCTGTGTATGTTCACGCCCTCTAGGTTACTTGTATTGATATTGGTGTTGATTGTTTCCTTGACTTGAACTTTGACCTTTTGTGTGTGATATTTCCTTCTTATCGATTGGTAAATTTTGTCTATGTCAATGTGTCTATTGATTGACGATTCACTGGAATACCAGCCTTGTGAAAATTCTCTAGCATTCTTGGTGTTTAACAGTCGACTGCGAAAGACACTAAGTTGGCCGAAATGGACGTCCCCTTCGTCTTTGTATCCACGATCAGAAACTAGCCGTCAGAAGATACGACATTCACTCCCCCATATGGCTACATATGGACAACCACGGACATCAATTCGACTGGGACAACATTCAAATGTTAGACAGAGGAAACACCAAGAATGCTAGAGAATTTTCACAAGGCTGGTATTCCAGTGAATCGTCAATCAATAGACACATCGACATAGACAAAATTTACCAATCGATAAGAAGGAAATATCACACACAAAAGGTCAAAGTTCAAGTCAAGGAAACAATCAACACCAATATCAATACAAGTAACCTAGAGGACGTGAACATACACAGAAACGACTAATCACGTTCAAGTTCACCAAGAGAGAGAGATGACTTATAAACTCATGGAGAAATCTAAGTGCTCACTTCAACAGATATTGAAGTATGCGTTGAAGATGTTGCCTTGATGGGCGATGAAAGCTTCGCAAATAAACCATCCAGCTCAGGGAACACAACTATAACAAAATCATTTACCTGAGCCACAAATCAACCTGAAACCAATCTGGAAATCTTCGTCACTCAGCATCAACAACAACATTCTTCGGATTTTCAATACAAACGTCAAGTCAGTTCTTCTATACGGATCAGAAACTTGGCGGCGGGTCACAAAGAATATTTCCAACAGCCTGTTGCAGACCTTTATCAACAACTGTCTTCGTTCTATACTGAAGATTAGATGGCCGGAAAGAATCACAAACAAGAAGCTATGGGAACAAACAAAACAGGAACCAATCGCTCAAGAAATATGGAGGAGAAAGTGGAGATGGATTGGACACTCGCTGAGGAGGCCGTTGGGTGACATCGCACGTCAGGCCAGTGCTCTAGTGGAACCCGAAAGGGAAGCGGCGAGTGGGACGTCCAAGGGTCACATGGAGGAGATCGTGTGATGAGGAACTGAAACAGTATGGATTAACATGGATGCAAGTGAAAAGTAAAGCAGAAGATAGAAGCAAGTGGAGGCGTGCAGTTGAAGCCCTATGTTCCACTAGGAACCCAAGGGAACAATAATAATAATAATAATATATAGTAGTATTGTATTGGGTAAAGTAAGAAGGCCGAAATGTGACTAAACAAATCACGAAACACAGTGCTTAACAATTTGTATGAACTATGTGAATCACCTGATCAAAATGCTATATGTGTTACTGGAAAACCAATAACTCTACAAACTTTCTAATGACATAGATCACATGAATGTGCAAACGTTTCAACTTTTATCACATTCCCGGAGCTTTCCGTTTTTTATACACCTCTGTTTATTTATTGAAATATTATAATTACAATTCAAACTAATTGGTACTCCTGTATTGTTTTGATGTGCTACAAAATTAAATAAGTGAAGGATTAAATTTGCCTACAGATATTTTGTCCTCATTGTCAGTAATGAAGATACAGAGTCTAGGCCATACTATAGTTAAAACTCAGATACGAAGGCAACAATACACAAAGACAAGTGTCCTTCAAAGAAGAACACAGACATACCGATTAGTGTTAATGTGTGGAACAATAGACTTAGTGAATTACATTTACGTGCATATAAGAAATAGAATACAATACTAATCCAAGGTCAACCACCAGTGGTGAGAGTTTACATCAAAACAACTAATAATCACATGATAATCACGAGAAACCAAGGTTAGGTCATATTGATCGGTGGACTGTTTATAAGATCTATTTGTCGTGATTAACAGTAAGAGATGAACTTGAAGGTAAAAATTCTACTCCGATCCATCCATCATCAATTCACCATATAAGAAACAAAGCAATAATCAATGGAACACAGACATGATCTCTTGGGAATATAAGTGTTTATGTAGATCAAGTTGGATTTTTTATTAGTATTACAAAATACTTCAGTAAGCATATTCTTTGCGCGAAGTAAAAGCATTAAAAAGAAACTGAGGTGTATATATTATGTCACTAACCGAAATCAGGGAGCACCTGGCAACTGTTTCATCCTAATTTGAGACCCTTCAGCAGCGCGCAACTACGACCCCACCCATCACCAGAGATCAAACTCTACACCTTCAGAGGTTATAAGACCAAGTTCGTTGAACATTTGAGTCGGGACTCAATGGCCTGCGGATTCTGACTTGATATAGCACTACGGCTAAGTAATACCATCAATGAGCACTGACATGGTGGACCCCACTACTGGCTACGACTTCTAATTAAAACTATAGAACATCCATCCAGGAGCCAGGAGAACTATCTAATATTATTAACCAAAAAATATATATTAATTATTATTTGACCCTAAATTAGAAAAATAAGGATTTTATCAACAACTGGTATTTACAGCCTTAATAAAGTAAACAGACGATGAACAAGTCAGAGACAACATGGATTCTTTCACACCTACAAGTAAATTACAAGCATTATTCGCAGTCACTAAGTTTATTATAGAACAACATATGATAGGCCAAAACACATTTACACTGGCTTTGTAAATGGTAAAGTCATATTTTGAAAATAATGTAAGACTATGTTACAATGCAAACATAAAATATTACTTACGAAACGCCATTAGCTACAGGTTTAGAATACTCATTAGATGAATTATTTCCATTTGTAACAGGTAGATTACAAGCTGTACGGAAGCGCTGGAGTTCATCGTCAACAGTTAATTCTAGACAAAATGAGAAAAACCATGAAAAAAGAGCTCAAAAATCATATATATGTCTGTAAACAGACAGTTAAAGGATTGCGCATATATAAGAAAAAACTGGGATATTTGATTTATTGTGAGGGAATATACACTCAGGAAATTGAAAGCAAACAACGCATACACCATAATTTTTGGAAAATGTTTAGCTCTCCTCTTTTGGAGACGTGACTCATTAGCTTGAACATTTGACTTACGCGCCCACCGCGACTGGATAGTATGCAACAGCTCTTACATAATAAATGCTAATCACATCTTTCTAGAGTTTCCAGACATCCAAGTACATCGAAACACTAAATACTATACATGATACTGTTGTTGATAGGGTTGCTACGTGGGAAAGATTTCTCTTATATCAGTCTAGGAATCATACTTATTGTATGAAGTTTGATCAAATTACCCAGTTACCTAAGCTGAATTAAGTGTAGCAGGACTCAAATCTGAGACCAATTGGTCAGAAGTTGATTCCATACGCCGATGAACCATATCTCTCTGACATGTAACAGCAATGAAATCAGAATATACTGAATCAATATTTTAAAAATACCTTTTTCAGTATTACCTTATTCAATTGATGCACACAAATGAAAAACAGGATGAGATCACCTTTCACCACTGTTAAAAAGTGCTACGGAAATCACCTTAGCTTACACTTTTAGGTCAGCGCATAAACAATGTTTTACAGTTCATCATGCCAAAAAATATACACAAGAAAAGCTTAAGATTTGTTTTCTCATTATTTTTATTATCACTTAGCAATGCTGTCGTCTAATTAGTCTCCAATACTAACTGTCAAAGGAAGTTAGATACAACAACGCATACATTTGTAATGGTGAGCATCAAGTTACGTTGTCAACTACCACCACAACTATACACAGAAAAAAGATGCAGACAAAAGTAGAATGATACTAGGAGGAAAATAAAACGAATTCGGGATAAAAAAGAAATAATTACACCAGTTAGTGAACATATTAGAAGTCTTCAGTGTATAACTGACTGGTTTCAATGTAGAACTTTGCATCGATGTGCAGTAGTTCGAGTCGCCACACTCCATGTAGCACACAAAGCAAGAGAAGAAAGTAGAAGAAATGCATTATATAGACAGTGAACAGACAAAGGAATAGTAATAACGGAGAACAAAACAGTTTAACTGGAAATCATAAGTCACAAGGAGTGGATGCATCTGCGCCAGCCATTGGGAACGATTTTGAGCCATGTCACCAATTGTTTCCAACCATTGGTTTTTACTGTCCCGAGGACCCCAACCAGGAAGTCTACATCTTCCTACGTGGCTTAGACTGACTGTTGTAGATTTCATTGACTGGTGCTATGTTTTCGTTTGGCCACCACTGGCCAACTCTTTTCCAACCTGATCCATCCTATGTCAGCTAACATTGCCGGTTGAGGAAATCGATTGCTAGGCATGCGTAACACATGTCCTAACCATCTCAATCGATGTAGCTTCACAGCTTCTTCTATTGATTTCCCCCGTGTTTAAGAAAAATAACAAGACGTTATAGAAGTCGATCAATAAAAGCCACTGTTTAACTTTGGTTTCTTTCTTGTCGATAGCCATTAACAAGGCGTGTTTACGAACGAAAAGAAATTTATGTTGCCTTTATGATTCGACACTGTTTCACTCAGATGTGTAGAGAGTCAGAGATTTCATCATCACTACGCTATTCAGAAATACAAGTGACTTTCTTGTAGGACTGGTTTGTTTGTGAAAATAATGGCCTCGTGGCAATCAATGGTACCTGAGGGATATTTGGTGTCTTAGTCCAAGTCTGTCAAAAAAGTGAGACGTACAAACACAATGAAACTGCTCCACATATTTATTACAATACAACCGGATTCGCAGTATATTAATGAGCTATTTTTCAGTGACTTTTCCTATTGCTCGAGGATTTCAACAGAATGGACTATATTTCCATGTATGGTTCAGAATTGATCAAATTTATACAAATATTATGAATGCATTGTTAGCTGATAAATGCAGTAATACCCAATATTTTAATTTGAAACCTTTTTAGGTGTACTGACTCGGTATACTTACAACAAAACTATAAACAAAGACTACAACAACTAACACAAGCATAATCTTACCCGACTGAGATGCTGTTCGATTGCCCTATAAAAGATGAAAACAAAAATAAATAAATAAATAACTCAGTAGATACATTCGCAAGAAAAAAAAGCAAATATCTCTAGTTAATTACATGGAGAAAATAAATCAAAACGGTAATATTTAAAGGAAAAATCATCATGCTTGAGCACACCATTGAGTGAAATGATAATAATAAACAAAGAGATCGTAAACAGAGCGTCATTTGTTGCTCATAAAAAAGGATTTGTTATTCAGACATGATCTTGTAGCACTCCTATATGGTCTTATCCACTGTATTTACGCAATGAACTTGACTGGTGAATATACAAAGTCCTTCCCCACACACGGAGACGTTGGAAAACCTTAGTTTTAAAATAACGTGAATGCTTAGCGTACAATCTACTCTAACTTCAACGACTTTACCGGAGAAGTGTTCCACCTTTCTGAATTATCAACTCCTGAATACCTTATAAGCTGACAGTTTATTGCCACTAGACTGCGAAGTCTGCTCAAACACATGATTCAAACGAATTGTGACTAATAATGTTGACTTAAGATGTGGCTTATTGGTTTATAAGCATTTAACTTTCAACCTACTTGTCCAGGGTTCGAATCCCACTCCGTTTATTTCAACCTCAACAACTGATTAGCATTATCAATATGTGTGTGGTTCATAACGTGATACATGAAAAATCTGTTCCAGCTAAATACTAATCAATTAAACAAATCACTGATGAAATAAAAACACAGTTTCAATTAACTACTCAAAACTTACACTAGCCCCTGAATTGAAGTCAGCTTCAGCTTTGTGCAACATATCAAATATACTCGGTCCTTCTGAATGATTATGAACATTTGAATTGTTATTATCGTGAAGTTTTGATGGTTGTAATGGGCTTGTCTTGTTACTTTCATTTGATGCACGAACAAAATCCATTAATTGATTCAATCCTTTTGTTACTGTTTCAGGAGATTTCCGAGTATTAACCACAGAATCTGCAACAGGAGTGGAAGCATTTGATTGGGTTTTATTTGTGGATCGATCGGATTGTGCTACTCTTAATCCCAAACCACCAGCATCAAAAACAAGTCTAAGAAGTAAAAATACAATTAATTAGTTTCAGATAAATATGACAGTGAAAAATGGAGAGCTAGCACATATATATAGGTAGCGACAGAAAGATATGAAATGCGTATACGAATATGTTGTTTGCAGTGTACACAAATCGGTTATCAAGAAGGTTCACTGCCCTATGAAAACTAGATCATTTTCATACCGTTTTGAAATAAAAATCTTATAGTGATCTATTTATACACAAACGATGCGAAGGTATACAACTATTTCAGCTAACAATTGTCTTGAAACACCTGCATGGAATCCAAATATGCATTAGTCCATCGACGTGTACACCTACGACCGATTGTCAACAGCGATGAAGCCTTACATGTGTTCAGCATTTCAGTGAGAATGTCACCTGTGTTTTTAGGCAACAGTCAACACTTCTCTGAGAATCACAATGATAAGCATCCGGAGGTTACATCCGAAAGATAATTGATTACCTGCAGTCAGTAATTACTAAAAGTCAATATATTTCTATAGCTTCACTAAGACAGATCGATGCAGTGAGACTGTTCCCCATCGGCTCCAAACATGACAAAAAAAATTCATGCTGACTAAATCATTACAACGACTGTCTAACAAACATGGTTGTAGAGATCTCCCATTAACATTAACTAGTACAGGTTGGAAAAGCAAAGGGACAGGACCTCGTGTTTTCACTTCGGAACTGCTTAGAGGTGATAGTGATGATTTATTGACTGACCAGCCAATCAATGCATAACTTGGAACAGAAGTGCAACGCAAGTCGCCAAACTTCCGGAAATCGTACAAGGAGAGAGGAAAAGAACTCAGTGAAACTAAAAGACACGGAAATGTGAGGGAGAAAGAATAAATACATGAATAACAATGAAAATCCTCGGAATCTGAATGATCAGAATTAATGGATACATTCGCACCACTTAGAACTATTTTGAGTCATGTGGCCAACAGCTCCCGACCACTGATTCTTTGCGTCCGGAAACCCCCTCCCCCAACTAGGCACTCCACACCTAGTTACGTAGTTCAACCCAACAGTTAAAGACCCCATGGATCATCACCTTGTTTTGGCCTAAACCACTCTGGCCATTTTCCACCCATCACACATCAGCTAACATTTCTTGTAGAGGAAAGGAATGGCTCTGCTAGCCACATCAGTCGAATCAACAGTCAGACTTTGCTTCCTTACTCTACTTAACACGATAGTGAACATTTATACCTACAGTCAAGAAACCACTAATCTCACACGTTCCACCGTTAACAGCAATGTCTTACAGAGTCAAACTAGTAAGGGGAGAAGTGTTGCACAATACACACAACTGTTGATGACTACTGGATACCAAAGATGACACAAGTTGGCTAATGCCACATGTGCCTTTTGTCTTCGTGCTGCGATGATGTGAACAAGTCCCAGAGGGCTGATGCAACTTTGCGACGCGACTTCAGATATCTTCGACAGACAGCTTGCTACCATCAACTGGGAGGACAACTGTCCGTTCACTAATAAACACAAATCATACTCATTTTGCATTCCATCACAGTCAAACAGTACCACAGCATAGCAAATTCGACAGTTGAAAGCCGTCTTCTGGTAACAAAAAATTGCCAGTTTCAGACTAAAGTATGTTTGTGGTATTGAACTTATGAAAAGGGTTAAGATTTAATCAACACAGCATTCTGTTTTTCCTTTACTTTACTTAATATACTTAAGAATATGAACCCTAGAGTCTTAGATGATTTAGTGATTAGCTTGATATATCTGCTGTTACCAAAGGAGGGTTTGTTCCCCTTCTCATAAACTAGGAAAATCAATAATATACACTAGTTTGAAGGAACCATCTCGAGTTACCATAGAGTGATTATAACTTAAAATAATGCAAAACATCTATTCTACGTTAAACTTTAATGTTCTGTTCGTCAGAAGATGATTGGTGTACAAGGTGGGTATAAAACACTAGAAACGTTGCTTCGTGTCTTGAAAAGTCACCACAAACCAAAGTTTAAACAAAGCAAGTACTTACTTGCCTAATTTCTCCGCGATGCGCTCACAATCCTTAGCAGAGAAAAACCAGATTGAATAGATTTTGCCTATAGTATTGTAAGGTTTACAATTACAATTCCTTCTTACCTGTTACTGTTTTGTACAAAAGGAATGGAGTGTGTAGCTGAAGCTGTAAACTTGAAGTCACCAACTCCATTTGGTTCGCCGTTGGACTTTTGCGATTCAGAATCATGAAAGCGAAAAACGGAGCTTTAGACCTAAGAGAGATGCAATGACAGTATCTAGACACTTACCGTTTATATAAGAAAAATACTCCACCCGTTTTGGTTTTAGCCTGAAATCAAAAAAGAGAATTCCAAATGTTACTAAATATTTAAGGCACAATCGAATGTTGGCATTCAATATGAAAAATGAGATTCGTAATCGTTTATCGAACGACAGAGTAACACACATCGATTGTGTGACCTCCAATGATCTCGTTATGTCGATCTGACCACTAAATGTGGGGTTCACGGTAGGGTGGGTAAAATTCTACCTGTGAAACCTCACCTGAGATAAGGATGTCCAATGGCCTTGAATGTTTGATTATCAGTATCACTGCACGATGGTTTATATCTAATGGAAACACCATTTTCCGACAAACGAGCCAGTCTTTGAGGGTGTCATAGGATGAAACACGGTTTTCAGACTATATTGAGGCACATCCCGAATCAGCAACAACTTGGTGAACTACCAATATCTGGTTTAAATCGTAACATAACACTTCTATAACTACTTTATCGACGAACGAACAGTGGTTGTGGCATTGGAACCTTTGATATTCCCCTGGCATTTAATATTATTCCTTGATTGTGCACACCTTATAGTCCCAGGCAATGTGTATCGCAAGATGAGTAGATGAACCGCCCAAGTTTTTCAGATGGGACTGTGAAAATCCACTAAACACACTTCGGTAACACTTTAGTAGAATATGGTGAATATACGACTATGAAGCTGATTGGTGCATGCACTCTCGTGTCAACTGCTGTTACTTCGGCAATAAGGTATCTGATAATCTTGTTACCCCCTAATCGGCAGGAAGTTGGAACACCCATGCATCCCTAAAGTTCAAAAAGCTACAATTTTCTTTATCAAACGAGAGCTGAAAAATGAAAAAGTCATCAAAAAAATTAGTTTCATACTTCTTTGCAACAGCGTGCTGACATTGGCAGTGTTACAATGTGATATGATACAAACTTTCTGAAGATTAAAACTAATGAGCCACACTTAACGTGTGAGAGTTAGTCATACTACCTGGCTATTTAAACTTCAGCAGGTGGATCGGATTTCGAACCCATTACCAAGGGGTGGTAAGTCTAGCATGTAGACCAACCAGCCATAGCTCCACAGCCACTACTGTAAACATTAATTACGACGACTAGTTTCCAAATCTTTTATATAAGTTAGATCACCAATTAGACCTAATGCTCTAGGTCCATGTTATAGGCACAGGTTTACTGAATATGTAATTTACTAACAAAGTAAGAACAATTTCCGGAGTAATTACGTACACTTTTTAATGTCTGACCGTTTTAGGTAGTTTATTTTTATACATTTGTTAGCATTTCAAAAGTTTTAAACTTGGAGTACTTTGACTTAAATGTAAAGCTTTTGCTTTCTTCCTTGTTAGTGTGCCTTCATTTACTATGGTTTTTATGTTTGTCCGATGTTCCACAAGATAGGTCCGAGTCTATAGCAGACCGAAGTTTGAAGGATAACATAACACAAACGTTTCGGAATTTCTAATCTTAACTATCTGATCTACATTCGTAATCACACTAAGGTAGTTTTGTTCATAATTACCGAAAACGCGCAGTATCACTGGAAGGGATTGATGGTAAAAGCAGGGAACCAATCACAATAAAGTCACCATCCTTTGACGGTTGACGCTATCAGAGGTCATTCAGCCACTCGACGACTAAGTCTAATACTGAATGTTCATGCCTAGAGTAAGAGTACCATGTAATATATCTTACTAAGCGGTCTGCTTAGACCTTGGGCTACCATAAAAACGGTCATTACCCATATATTTTGTGCGGAGCAGACTCAGAACCACAATAAACAAATTATGACACTTCTAAGTACAGTTCAGAAAACCACAGCTAAACTTATAAATACTTATTACACGTGCTTAATTTCTGCTGAACAAATGTACACTAACTAACCAATACGTATACAGAGATAATGTAAAGGTAAGCATCTAGGTTACGAGTTATGCGACTTATACGAAAACATTTCATTTACTGTACATATAAGGGATACGATACCGATGAATGAGATAATTCCAGACTAATCGAAGTTATTGAGTTCATCTCAATCTCAAGGAAGTGGAGGCGCAGCCTACTGGACACAAAAGTAAGAAGAGGAGCACACGTTGGCTCAGACCACTATCTCGTACAAGGGACAATCCAAATCAAATTAAAAGCTTTCAGAGAAACAGGAGCTGCAGATAGACCACAAGCCAAGCTCAACACTAAAAACTGAAGGACCAGGACACAAAGAACATCTTCACTGCAAGCATAAAATACAAAACCAAGACACAAATCAACACTAGCGAAGAGGCCAGCGTCGAAAAGCACTGGAACAACTTGAAAACAGTGTGGAGTCAAACCTGCAAGGAAGTTCTAGGCAGAAAGAAGAGACAGGATAAACAGTGGTTCACTACGGACACTTGGAGACTGATAGAAGAGAGAGGGATGGTGAAACAATAGATTATCCAGTGCACCCAACGAGCAACAAAAACAGGATTTGAATGCAAGCTACAAGACACTGAACAAAAGAGTAAAGAAGAGTGCCAGGGAAGACAAAAGAAAATATTATGAAGCCATGGCAAGTGAAGCAGAACAAGCTGCAGGCAAAGGAGACCTCGCAACACTCTACCAAACAACTAGGTACCTATCGGGCAAACGTTTGACACAAATCAAACCGGTGAAAGATGACAACGGAAAGTCACTCAACAAAGAAGTGGAGCAAAGGAAACACTGGGCTGAACACTTCAAAAGACTCCTAAATCGACCACCACCTACAACGCGCCCAGCAACACCAACAACGGAGACAGAGCTACCAGTCAACACCAACCCCCCGACGAAATCAGAAGTCCTGAAGGCAATCAAGATGCTAAAAGCTGGAAAAGCAGCAGGGCCAGATGGAATCCCAGCAGAAGCACTGAAAATGGATACAGAGACAACAGCGGACTTGACGACGCCACTACTGGAGAAGGTGTGGAAAGAAGGCAAAGTACCCGAGGATTGGAAGAAAAGATACTTTTCCAAACTACCAAAGAAAGGAGACCTAAGTCAATGCAAGAACTGGCGCGGAATTATGCTCCTGTCCATCCCAAGCAAAATACTAAGCCGCATCATCCTGGAGAGAATCAAACATGCCCTGGATGAAAAACTTCGACCGGAACAGGCTGGATTCAGGAAAAACAAGTTATGCATTGATCAGATCGCCACATTACGGATCATCATTGAACAAAGCTTGGAGTGTCAGTCACCTCTCTATCTCAACTTCATCGACTTTGAAAAGGCATTCGACAGCGTCGATCGAGAGGTGATTTGGAAACTACTTCGCTACTACGGGGTGCCACCGACAACTATACATCTCATCCAACAGCTGTACGACAATGCTGCATGCCAAGTAATCCACAACGGGAAACTTACGGAACTTACGAACTTCGAAGTGAGGACAGGAGTGAGACAAGCTGGCTGCCTACTATCGCCAATGATTTTTCTGATTGCAGTAGATTGGATAATACGACAAACAGTGGGCAATGGGGAAACAGGCATAAAATGGACTCACACAAAAAACTTGGAGGATATGGACTTCGCCGATGATACATGTCTGATTTCCAACAAACTGGAAGATATGCAAGCGAAAAGCAACAAGTTGAAAAGAAGAAGCATCAAAGATAGGACTTCAGGTGAACATAGAGAAAACAGAGGTGATGAAGATTCCTGGGCAACACCACCAACAGTAACAACAACAGACAACAATCAGCATAAATGGAAGGAACCTGAAAGAAACAACCTCCTTTATCTACCTGGGAAGCATAGTTTCAACTACAGGCGGAACTGACGAGGATATCAAAGCAAGACAAGCTTTCACTACTCTCAAGTCTGTGTGGAGGTCAACACTCGGCACTCAGCATCAAAAATAAGATCCGGATTTTCAACTCCAATGTGAAGTCAGTGCTACTATACGGATCAGAGACTTGGTGCGTCATAAAGAGCACCCCAAACAAACTACAGACCTTCATTAACAATTGTCTTCAATCAATACTCAAGATCTGATGGTCGGCCAGAAAAGATCAGCAACAGGGATCTCTGGGAGCGAACCAACCAGGAACCGATTGTGAAACAAATAAGCAGGAAGAAATGGAGATGAATTGGCCATACTCTGAGGAAACCATCAAGTGACATCACTAGACAAGCCATTGCTCGAGTGGAACCCGGAAGGGAAGCGGTGAGTTGGTCGTCAGTGCAAGGGTGACTTGGAGGAGGTCATGTGAAGAGGAGATGAAAGCGTGTGGGCAGACTTGGAGCCAGGTGAAGACTCTAGCAGAGAACCAAACGCAATGGAGACGCACGGCTGAGGCCCTATGTTCCTCTAGGAATTAAAGGGTACAATAATAATAATAATCGAAGTTAATGCGCTTGGTGGTAAACGGATGCTTTTTTCTAGCCCTAAAGCATCTGTCATCCATCACATTGTGATGAAGTGACCTACGAAGTGATGGAAAAAACAGCACTCGATGGGCATAACCACCCAGTCAGTATCGGGAAGTCAAATCTGCTGACCAAAGAACGAGTAACTGGCATATTCCTGAATATTGTGACACAAGGAGTGCCAAATTTGGCAGTAACCCATCCCCAGCAAGGTTTATGCCAGCTATCATTGACTTCGGGCGCACTGCAGAATGTTTAGGGTAGACTTCGGGCGCATTGCAGAATGTTTGAGGTAGTCTTTAGGGCATTGTCCCACGTTCTGCAGTGCGCCCGAAGGAAATACTAGCTGGGTCAGGTTTGCGTCCAAGAAATGCTCACGTGAGCTCGCAAAAAAACCTCACAAGGTCTGAAAAACCGATAGGAATGAATGAAATATCCAAGATTAGCATATTTTGAAACCATACAATTATTCCTATACCAGTATCATAACACTTCTATAAACGCTAAAAAACTAGATTGGCAATAAAAAGACTATAGCCAACTTACCCAAGTATTTTTATCGCTCTGAAATGAATAAACATGTGCACTCGATGATTTATCAAGAATTTGGGTGCAATATTTGTCATAAGTCTGAATAACAAGGACGTTCAGGTTGTCTTCAACACTCATGTTACGGGAAAATTTTGAACTGGCGCTGAGATCTGAGGGATTTTATTTGTGTGAAATATAAGGAAACATGAGATTATTACTTCATGAAATTTGAAAAATATTCAAAGAAAAACCATTTCCTGAAATTGGTTGAGAACCTCCTACTGTTGTTATGACAACCTCCAGCGCAAACTTTTGAAAGTTTTATTGTTACCTTTGTTCTTCAACTGATGGCTGGTTTAGTCAGGCCCCCTCAACGATTCACTCACGAAGAGTGGACATATAGCAATAATCTAAAGTATCGAAGTGCAGAGAAAGAAAGAGAAATTTCCCAAGGGTTACAAAACGAGTGCGACAGATTCATTGAAGAAACTGCTAGACGCACTGAGAGAACACTTAAAGACGTCGAAAAAAAATTTGGTAGGCTAAATTTTCTTTCACTTTACTTTTGCAGATCAAAGAATCAAGGATATACAATACTGGAAGTCGGAAGTTAATAAAAAGCTCCAGGATGTGACAGAAGAAACTGATGTATTGGATGAATATTTCATTAGACTGAAAAAAACTCTTGAAGCCACGGAAGAGCCTCTTCATATTGCACAACAATGTTTGCTTAGCCGGTTGGTTTTATCCTCTTAAAGGGATTTGTTTATTTACCCTTAATGGCAGTGAGAAAAGAACAGGAATCGATCTCGTTCACGACGACGCACAGAAAGAACTTATCAAAGAGGTGGAGGTTATAAAAGGTGCACAAGGAGTTCTACAGAAGGCTATCGAACAAGCTAAGGAACAACTCAGGTTCGTCACTAGTAATAAAGATATTGGTGATAATGATTTATTCTATCATTTTACACATATAAAATATGTATTATGTGTATTACTATTGCTTTTCTCAAGTCAGTGTATATTTCTGGTAGAGTCTAGGGTAGATTCTGTCAGTGTTGCTTCTAAGGTACAAATAACTTTCTTTTCCTTAGCTGATATATTTGTATTGAAGCTAATCTTATTTTGCACCTCATTATTAAGATAAATCTAAATGATAAATTAATACTGAAGCAAGGGGGAAATTAATTCATAAACTGAAGTTACTCCTACAGATAAAACATTCAGTTTGAAGTTTCTTTCTTACAAACGGGTTCAGATTCAGATGATAAGGATTGTAGGCTCTTGTGGCCTGTGTTAATACTTGCAAAATATATCTCTGCAGAGGTCTGACTTCCCTTTGAAAGCGTTCACCGATGGAGCTGATACTACTGAATCAGGTAAGGAGTTCCAGTCGTTGAGCACTGTGTGACAGAATCTAAATTCTGCATGTATTTTAATCGTCCTCGGTTTGAGCACCTTTTTTGTGGTGACCCCGTAAATGTATCCAAGAAGGGTAGAAAGGTCAGTTCCTAAATCACCCGTAAGTATACGGTATGCTAAAATTAATTCGCCTCTCTTCCTTCGGTATGATAACGGGAAGAAATTTAAATGCTCCATCCTTTTGTCATAAGAAAGTTGTGAGATACCACTAACCAATTTGGTTCCTACCATTTGTACTCTTTCTAAGATATGTGCCTCCTTCTTGGAGCATGAACTAGCTGCTTGTATGCAGTATTCTAGATGAGGCCTGACATATGTTGCGTAGAGTACTTGGAACACAGACTCATCTAATTGTTTGAAAGCTTTTCGGAGTGACCAAAGCATTCGAAAAGCCTTAGTTGCGGCTTCATTGCCATTTGCAGTTGTTTTCAAATCATTACTGACAATGATTCCTAGGTCCTTCTGTCCGTTAACTTCAGGCAGTTCTGTGTCCCCTAGGGAGTACGACGTATAAGACTTCTGATCTGAGTGCATTACCGCACTTTTCCTAGAATTAATTTCTAAACTCCACAGGTTCGACCACTCAGCTAATTTATCTAGATCACTTTGTAGGGCCGACCTATCCTCGTTATTATTTACAGTTTTCCAGATCTTAGTGTCGACCGCAAATAATAATGAAGATGAAGTAAGAATCCCCGGTAGTTCATTAACGTATAGTAAGAATAGCAAGGGGCCTAATACAGTTCCCTGAGGCACTCCACTGGATACTGCTTTCCACCCTGACAGTACACCGTCAACTCTAACCTGCCTTCTATCCATTAGGTATTCCCTAAACCACTCACATAGGCATTGGTCTAGTCCGAAACCTTTAGGTCTACTAAGGAGATCTAAGTGGGATACTTTATCAAAGGCCTTACTGAGATCGATAAAAACCATGTCCAACAGAAGGCTTTTATCCCTGGCCTTAACCCAGTTTTCCCTAGCCAATAGTAGGTTTGCTAGGCAGAATCGTCCTGGTCGGAATCCATGCTGTTCCACAGCCAGCAAGCCATGTTTTTCCACATGAGCTAATAGCTAATCCCTTATAATAGTTTCCAATACCTTTGCTATAATGCATGTCAGACTTACCAGTCGGTAGTTAGATACCAATTGCCTGTTCCCTTCTTTGAAGATAGGGCTTATAATGGCATCCTTCCACTACCTGAGTAGATTAGCCTGGGTCGGAGACATTCGGAAAATCTCCATAAGTGGAATGTGTATTATATCCGCCAAGGAAATTAACAGTTTAGGCTGAAGCCCATCAGGCCTAGGTGATTTACCTGGCTTCAGTTTAGATGGTAGTTTGAGGACCTTTGTGTGCTCTACCACAATTGAGGGCATCTAAGTGGCTATGGCAGTGACCTCGCTATATTCCTGGGTGGTACGATCAGACGAGAAGACATCACAGAAGTATTCAGAGAGGTTTTCAGCCTTTCCCTCGTTTGACTCAGCCGCTTCTCCACCAATGCTTATGAGTGACGGTATACCACTGCTAGTTTTAGTCCTATGTTTAATAAACGAGTACAACCTTTTTGGGTAATGAACAAAATCCAGTACTAACCGTCTCTCGTACTCTACACGACTCTTGTCAATCACATACTTACAGACATTTCGAATTTTGCGGTAGTCCTTCTGGGAATTTTCCCTTCCTGTCATAATAAATTGTTCCTATAAGTTCTTCCTCCGTCTTAATAGCCTCCCTATTTCACTAGCAGTCCAAGGTGGCTTATGCGATAGCTTTCAAACGGTGTACCAGGTCAGATTCCTGCTTAAAGCAGAAAAATAGACTAAACTACATTAGCTCAAATCAAGATAGATTTACCTTTACTGAAGGCTTTTGAATATATATCAGAACGCTTGATTATTTTGAAATTTAACGAAAACTAGCAGTAAAATCTAAATGAAGTAATCAATCTGAAATCTGACTACGCTAATATGTGTGTAAAACTTGGGCACTGTGGCAGTAAGTACTTCCATATTAGTTTGTTTATTAGATGTATCATACAGTGAAACAGTATTACTTACTGGATGATGTTTCGAACACAATTTATTGTTCATAATCATATCAGTTTTGATTATTATTACTATTATTATCATAGTTGATATGATTATGAACAATAAATTGTGTTCGAAACGTCATCCAGTAGGTAATACTGTTTAACTGTGTGATACATTTAATAAACAAATTAATATGGAACTGACTGTGCTAAAACTAAAGCCTTTGTACGTTAAGTTTCACGTACGGAAAATTTTTTTTTCACGGTATCATTAACATCAGTATGATAATCTGTCGATTGTGTTCACTTCAGTGCGGATTTTCTTCATTTAGATTTGTACGCTTTTTAACCTCGAAATAGTCACTTGAATTAAGTTTCAAGAAATATCTTGTAAGAAACGATTAACTACTAAGCTGCTAGAGTCACTGATCAAAACCTCTATAGTGTACTCTTCTGCTATCTATACATGTTTATACAGGAGCTTTCAACAAACCATTTCTTACCATATCACTTTTATTTAAAGAGGTTATGTCCTAGAGTGCATAAGAATCCTGTCTATATAAAGATTGCAAATGCTTCAGTTATCTAAATTTTGAGAATTCTTTGAGGGGTAAACCCCTGTCTATTACTAAAGGTGATAATCTTATTGTGTCGTTCACTAATCTTCGACCCGTTCCCACTTGGCACATAATCACCTTATAATGGGCTAGAAAAATTAGTTTAAAATTAGTTCTCATTGCTTTTGGCCTAGTCTGATATCAAATCGTGATCAAACCAGTTACCAATTAAATCCCTGCAAACCGACACTTGATAATTAATCTGAGAGCGTTTAATATATGCAAAATAACTTTATAAGCCATGTTGTTAATGGATGACGCCTTGTCGTTTCGTTATGAAAAACAATTTATACCACACAAACAGCTTTTTTACTATCTCTAAGTACTGTTCATTTCCCTCTGGCAAGCTACGGAATCTTTCCATTCCACAGATGACGTAGTCCAAAAAAGAGACGTGGTAAGTATCTTCGGAGCCGAGCAAGTAATTAATATATATATATATATATATATATATATGATTCCTGAAAAAAAAGGATATTACACACGGCAGATTTACCAAAGACATTAAATAAGACTATATACTACTGATAGACTGAGGTGAGTAATTCTATACCACTCCTATCAACCGGTAGTGCTTGCTACCCAGATCATAGTGACCTAAACACCAGACGGCCATTTTCCTTGCTTCGGGCTGAGCTTATTAGAGATGCATTCAATATAAAGCAGATCAGATAGCTGAGTAAGTTCAGGCTAGTTACTTAGGCGAACAGATGTGCAAATGTCACCTTAAACTGTGTAAATTGCAAAGTGCTTTGCAAATTGCTAAATAGCTTTACTAAAGACATTTCCGGAACTTCATGAAACCCATATCTGTTCACACTTGAAGAAAAAAGTGACGATACACAACAGTAAGGATGTTCAATTCCAGTAGTTGCGGGCAAGAAATCAATGTGATTACATCGTACATGGTAGCATAACATAATACCACCTACATTCCAATGTCTAAATTTCGCTTTATGAACATACCATCTTGGTGGAAGTTCCTAGTGTTTATTTCCCAGATTGTTACTCAACGATTATTTTTTATGTGTAATGAATTAGTTTGACCCTATAAGTTTGTATACGATAGCATTTTGCTGCAGATAAACTACTTTTAATAATTAACCCTTATTTGTGCCTAAATGTACGGTTTAAATGAAGCAGTCTTTTTTATTCCTTCACATTCCCAGTGAACATAAGATTTCAAGCTAGAGCTTTGAAGTTTCACTAGCAGTGGCGTCTTTCTACAGGATTTGTTTGCTAGCCTCACGCCCAACCTTCCCTCTTTCCTGGACTGACTAATGGCTTAGTGAGATAAAGAAGTGCGTCGGCCCGCGATCGAAACCTAGGCCACTTGCTTGGTCGGCTAGTCTTTTACCCCTGAACCACCGACGTACAAATGAAGCAATAGATAAATTTTAGTAATTTCTACTGGTCAGTCACACTTTCGTACCTAGCTCAGCGTTGAAGTTGATTTGTTTCAATATATTTCATGTTAAAAAATTAGCTGAAACAATGCCACTCAACAACTGTTATTTTTTTCACAAAATGTAGAATGGGTAGGGGCATGAATCATCACCAACAAACTTTTGAATTCATATTATGTCAGACCCATAACTTTTAAGTATGTAAACCATGCGTATAAAGTTTTAATAAAATTGCAAAATCATCACGTGTTAACTAGTTCCATCAGTAAATAATAAGCCAAACAGTATTCAAGTATTTCAAAAGGTGGTCACACTTTTAGATATTCTGAAGTAATATGGTCAACCCTGAACGATGTAATCAAAGGTCTAAATGAAATATAATAAAGATAATTGCTGTCAGGTTTTAATAAATATAAAATCTCGTCTCAACTGTTATTCTTCTATGCACCTCTCTTCACATAGTTGTTCTCTTGGATTTGCAGTTATTTGTACACTTAACTGAATATAATAGTTTGATAACCAAATGATCTAAGTGATCGCATGCTGGTTGCATATAGTATTGTTTTTAAATATCATGTGACTTGAATTTTCAAGTAATAATAAACATTCATTGAAAGTTTTTTTTCCAAAGTTTTAATTTATACGCACTTTTCTATGCTACTTTAAGTATTCTGTACTCTAAAGTAAGAAGAGCTTTTCTCTTCACTTTCTTCGATTTGTACTATTAGTAAGTAAGTATTGAATCATATGGAATCATACCGAGGATTAATCATTAATCTGTTTTATCGAAAATCGATAAATACGTATACACTAAATATAATTTTAAGGAATACACATAGAATAAGTAAGCCTGTATTTTCAAAAGAAGATGAATCATGATATCAACTTTAAATCATAGACTGAAGTAGTCTTTAGTTATCATACAGAAAAATGTTTTCATAACTTGAGATACCTTAATTTTACTCCCTTTGATAGGTTTGATCGAATCTTGTATATTATTTTGAAAGATTTTTCGATTGGCGCTGAATGTCCTTAATTGACCAGATGTTCTGTCACTGAATTATATACACCTTTTCGTTCTCCTTTTACTAGCCAGGCTGGATAATGTTCACGAGTGCGTTTTTCAAGTTGGTGCATGGTACGGTCGATGTACTCAGCTACGCACGAGCAAGTTAACCGGTATATGCACGTTGAAGGGGTCCATTGCTACAGCTTGTCTTCCGCGTTCTGGCTGAACAGTTTCTTGCAGGAAACGTCAGTCGTAGGCTTGTGGCGAATTATGTTTTCCTCAGAGATTTGCAGAGGCATTTCCGAAGGATTTCTTCTTCAATGTCACCTTTGAATTCTAGATTAAGCAGAAGTATCTTCTTCGGGACGAATTGGACTTGTTCGGAAGTCTTCTTTGATTTGAGATTCTTGTCTTTGAACTTGGATGGAAAACCGTTTTCCATCAGGGTTCTTCGGATATTACGCAGTTCTTCGTCAATCACTTCTTTGCTGCATATCTTCCGAATCCTCTAGGAAACAGAGTTTATAAGGTTCCTCTTTCTGCTTAGGAGCACGAAGCTTTGAAAGTTGATGAATTGTCCATTCCATGTAGGCTTTTTGTACATGAACCTTTTCAGAGAATTGTCGGCGTTTCTTATCAGATGGACGTCGAGGAAGTGGAACATTCCGTCGGATTCAGCTTCAAGAGTAAAGTCGATGTTTTGGTGAGCGTTGCTGAAGGTTTGAAGTAAGTTTTCAAGGTCCAGGCTCTCATCACAAATGATGAAAGTATCATCAATGTATCTCTTGTAAAGATGGAGGTCAGTGATAGTCGATGACAAGTTGTTTTCGAGGCTGGCCATAAAACAGTCGGCCAAGAGGGGTCCCAGTGGAGAGCCCATTGCTACGCCATCTGTTTGTCTGTAGATTTCATCGTTGAATCTGAAGTAGAAATTGAAATTACAACGTAGTAACAGCTCTTTAAATAATGCATCGGTATGCCGACATCTATGCTGTTGCATTGGATGACATTCAGTGCCATTCAAAAAATCCTTCAAAACAATATACAAGATCCGATCAAACCTATCAAAGGGAGTAAAATTAAGACATCTTGGCATAGCCGAGGCACTAGCCATCGAAAAGCTCAAACCCACGCTATGTATCCAAAAGTAATTTGAGATACTAAAATACAATTACCGCCTGAAAAGAAGATTACGTTAGCTTCTCGAATTTGAAGCCAAAATTCACGAAATATCTAAGTTTTCCAAAGATGTTGGTTTTCTGAATCAATTATAGTGGAATTATTATAATTTTCTATAGTTTGGTTTGTAGGGGTTTGTTATGTTTTTTACGAGTTGATCACGAACTGATATCAGTTAGAGAACCATTGAAAACCAGGGTGTACTGGACGGCTGCTGTTTCATCCTAGTTTGGGAATCATCGGCAGTACGCACTCACTGGGATTCGAACCCAGGACCTTCCGGTTACAAGGCAAGCTCGTATACCATTCAGCCACTGGGACCCGATTCAATGGCTCATGAACACAATGTATTGCTCTTAATCACCTTGATATGATTATGAGCAATAAATTGTGTTCGAAACGTCATCAGTAAATATTACTGTATAACACTGTGCGACTTTATCAAAATAAATTTCACCGATAATGGAATCCCACAGTAATTTCTTTTCTCAAGTTTTTCAAATCGCTAATATAACTGTCGAAATGACTCTTAAAGTATAAGAATGTCACATCAGTGTTTCCTCATAATCTTACCTTGCAGATTAAATCGTAAGGCAATTTATAATCTGAAGAAAGATTCTTCTGACAAGCTTGAAGCACAACGTATTGATGAATACGCGTTAAGTTTGAAACCAACTGATGAATCATTACCTGGATTTGATCGCCTCCCAAAAATGGATGCCAAGTAAGTTGTGTAATTAAAATAACTTCAAAACTGATCTGTGATTATGATTGGTTAACAGTTCCTCAAATTCAATAGTCTAGGTGAAGTAGGTGGATGCAGTGTCGAAAAGTCAAATTATATATTTGCTTCTTCATCTTATTCTAGTAATATCCTACATTTATAGTTCATGTAAATCAATGAAAAAAAGAAATTTGCCAAGGGTACTTCTCTGTCGGTTACAATAATCAGCATAACACTTTCGATTTCTTTTATTTACAACTGGAAAAATTGTAAACTATTTAGTTAAAATGCGAATTTCGAGGTAGATTCCTTTATAAATCAAAATCAGTGGGCGCTAAACCCCTGTTATTCTAATATTAGACTGTTAAACATGGCTCAGCAGTGTGACATACTCTACCGATGAAATGAGACTCAGTGGCTGACTCAATTTATAAGCTAATGATTTTTGATGCAACATGTCATAGGACCCTTCCCCCCGCCCCGAAATATGCAGTGCCGAATAATTCCAAACTCAAAAGAAGTAATTGTTTTGTGTCTATTGCTTCTTAATAAAATTGGGCACAAAACTATCCGAACTCATGGAAACTTTCTGGATGAAAGTGTGAACTCTCATTTGGTGTAATCTGTATTCAGTCATAATATTATTACTCCGTTGGGTTGTGAGCGGAAAATACAACTTCAACAGAATATCTCTGTTTTATCCTGTTCTCTGTAGCCCATTTGTGCTAGTTCCACTGTTCCCCTAGTAGGCCTTCATTACTTCCTCACACTATTTCCTTTATGTCACCTTTGGACACACGCCCAGCTCATCGTTCCCTATTTGAGTTCCACTTGAACGATGGCCTGGAGTGCGATGTCACTCAAGGATCCCTTCAGAATATGCCCGATCTGTCTCCATTTCCTACTGCATATTTTCTGGGCAATAGGTACTTCATTGATTCGTTACCAGAGTTCATTGTTGCCTATCTTTCCTAGCCATCTGATCTTCACTCTGGAGGCAGCGAAAGCAGCTGCTGATAAAAGTCTGCAACAGGTGGATGGAAATGCTTTTCATGAAATATCAAGTTTCTCAACCACAAAGAAGCACTGACTGACTTGACATTAGTACTGACAATCCGAATCTTGTTCCGTATGCTGCCTTTGACATCCTATTCCATGCTATGCATGTTTATTTATTATAAAAAAAATAATCAACTACTGATGGTTATTCCTTTCTTTCACCTTATTTGTTGTATGTATTCCATAACAGATCATTTACACAAGAAGAGTGGCAGAATTTTTCAACTGCATCAATTGAAGCTGGGGATAAACAGTTACAAAACTCTCATGAACTACGCTCTATTATCGATGGGGTAATACAACAGGTAGCTGCTGATATAAAGCGTCAAATTGAAGCAACAAATCGTGCTTTAAAAAAACGAATAAGTGAAACTCGAAGTTCTAAAGCTAAGCTGGAAGAACACTTAAGCGCTGTAAGTTATATTAAAAAGAATAATATTCCCCTTAATTTATAAAGTTTTCTCAATATAACGCCATACACTAAGTGAAATGTTCATGATCACAATCGGTATATTACGGGTGTTACTCAAGATGCAGATGGTGAAGTATACTACAAAAACTTATCTGCATATGTATACATCATAGAGTCGAAAGGTTAGCTGACTAGTAAGTAATTACTACTGGGAGCTTGCGTTTTTAAATGAAAAGGCCAATGTTGCTTTCACTGACGTTTTGCTATCTGCCTGTAATTGCAATGGCTTTGTTACTCAACTAATATGTTGGAGATGAGCTAACTTGATTATGTATAGGAAGCAAAACTCATAATACGGCTTGCGTAGATGAAGCTACAGAAGGATAATTAACAAACTGGTTAGTAATTTATTAGATTCAGTCTTAATCCAGCCTTCATAAATAAAGATATTAGGGTAATAAGCCTGAATTAAGATTTTCGGTAGTTGTCTTTGTGAAGATCTGGCTTTTCTTAGAAGGCATTCACTGAATTAACTTTTACTGCAAACCGGTTCAAACCATCTGTGAGAAAAACTGGTACTCTGATTGAAAATAATTCAACTGTGACTTCCATCCATCTATAAAAATAAAATAAATTAAAAAGGAGCTCAAATGCTCATGTTTGATGCCTAGAAGAAATTGACCTGCATTTGTTGATCCGGGTTTCATGTCTACTAGTAATCATCAGTAAGGCATATCAGAGGGCTCGACAGCAATGATGTTCTCTTTGAGATCCTAACCTGAACTAGAGTGACGGAATTCAGCTGGCACCAACATCAAGGACCAGATACTTAACTGGCTACACCCAAAAGACCGATCAGTGAATCCATTACAGTACTACAGGATATAAATCTCCAACAGTAGCACTAGATGATATGGGTACGAAGCTCCCAGTAGACACTAGTCCCTTCAAGATTGTTGACACACCTTACTGACAAGTGTCAACAAACACGAAACCCAGGTTCAGAAATTTCTGTCGAGCTTCTTCTGGCTACCGAAAATCACTTCAGAGTGCACCGCGAACACAACGTATTATTCTTCATATGTGTGGTGACCTTAGATCACCATCGTGAAACTATGGCTTGATATAGTTTTTTCTATGTACATAGCTTTGTTTCCATAAATTTCAACTTTAATTTATCGTAAAGTAACAAAAGCTTTTAATCATATTACCTTTTGTACGATAAATCTTCATATAAATATATCAGTACAAGTAATATAACCCTTTGATATCGATTAGTCAACTCTAAATTTTTAATAAACCAAGCTATTACACCGTTGACTTCTTCATCTATTTTTATCAAAGACTTCAGGCAACGTAGATATCAATTTTAGTGTCACTCAGATAAAATCCCTTGTTTAGTGTCTTGCAAAAACTATGCAAAACTATACAATATACAATGAGCTTGTTTACATTTTTGTAGTAACTTTGGTCATTAACATACATTTTTAATAAACACAGCAAGCTTCATCGAATATTTCGTAATCATGATTTGGTTTTTATTCTTGTAAAATACGTTGTTGTTTAAATAACAAAAGGAGATGATTTAAGCGGTTCCTCAAGTGTACTGTATACGTGTCACCTGGAGTTCGGTGTCAGGGTTAACTGGAGGAATTTAACTAACTGAAATCGAGTAGAAAACTACTAAAAGTTTAAAACTACATAAATGTTTTCAGCAGCAAGTATCTTTGACTGTGTAAGGGATAGACAGGGTTTAAGGCCTACAGGTGATAGAATGAGCAAGTTATCATTCAGCTGATGCTTGAGAAAATTTAATAACATATGACTTTCAGTCTATACTACTAAAGTAGTGAGAAGTCGTGGCCAGTGGGCTGCACCATGTCAAGGTAAGTGCATGCTCATTGAAGATACTGGTAAGAGCAGAGCTATATCACAAGGTGGCAAAGTTAGAATTCATCCAATCCAAGTGGATGATTGGTCAGCGAGCTTTATCGTGTAACCTGAAGGTCTCGGGCAACGCTGTGAGCACACACTGACGAGTAGTTCTGAAATAGGACGTAACAGCTGTCCAGTGCTCCATGATTCCCAATGATCTATCTAACTTAAGTTGGTTTGTGAGTAAATCTAACAATTAAAGTAACATGAACTCAATTTAATTAAAGATGATTAGTTATGTAAGTAAGAAGAAAAATTCACGAAGTAAGTCCTGATATTAATTAGGCAAGCGCTAACATTGTTGTTCTACAGAATTATTTCAATTTCATCCAATTCCCAAATATAGCAAAAATATTCATTCAGACATCTAAAAAACACAAAATAATCGAGCAAAGAATATTCTTTTCGATAAATTCCTCTTTCAGGCTCTATAATTATATATATGTTTATATACACAGAATATTCTAGATTAGTAGTTAATAACAATATTAGTGTTTTTTTAAGTAATATCGATTTGTAAAGTATGATCAATGCAATTACAGTTCATTAAAGATGCTTAAATTATAATAATAATAAAGATATAATAGCGAATAGAATATCAACTAAAATTAGGGAAATTCCACAAAAATTCCGGATTATTCAAACCTGGATGGCCAAGGTAATGATAATGTCTGAACTAACTTCTTTTGGGTGCATAAATTAGGCTTGTTATTATGGATCCCCATAGCCTCAGCAATATTTAGTAGTCAAACTCTTAAGGCGAAATTGAGATTCTCAGGTATGCGGTAAATGACCCTGAAAGCCTGGTTAACATCAATCTTGTGTTCTGTATCCACAAGATGCGTCAGAATAGCGCTGCGAATAGATTTTGTTTGTCCGTTGCTTAACCAGGCAGGGTGATGTTCGGAAATTCGACGAGAAACACGCCTAATTGTACGGCCTATGTAACTGGCTCCACAGGAGCAGTTAATAGTCAACATTTATGGTATAAAGCCTCACTGTCCACCTGAATTAAATTACTCTTTAAAAATATTTGAATATTTCTGATAAACATAGTCTTAAAATGTATATGAATGAATGCTTGCGAATGAGACTGTAGGTAGCAATTTTATTTTCTGCTTTTATGGTGATTCAACAATCCTATTGTGATATTATTTTTTTTTAATTATTTGTGATTTTCATTGTGTAGGCTTTAAGCGAAATATTTTGACATGTCTACATGCATACTGAAAGTGATTCTTTTTAGAATTGCTTCAGTGTTAAACAGTATGGAGGCGCTGCTGAGTCACCTGAAGCAAATGAAGACTCCAAAACATAAAAGGCGATGCAGTGTTTAGTTAATTGAATCTATGCTCACTAACTTTATGAATAAACTATACAGTAATGATTACCAATATATATATATATATATACATATATATTGGAGTCTTCATTTGTTTCAATTGACTCAGCGCCTCCACATTGTTTAACACTGTAAAAATTCTAAAAAGAATCACTTTCATTATCGTGAACAATGAATCATCATTGGCCCCATGAGTTGGATTTACATAAACGCCTATTAAGTATAGCACACAATTCTCATAACGGTCAAAAACATAAATCTTAAAGTGTCTATAAGTTTATAAGGGTCTCAAAGAGACTTTTATAACAAAGAATTTTGTTAAAATGTATTTATGTTAATCATTGTTCACAAAACTATTTTCTTAGCTATTGACAACTCTTCAATCGAAAAAGCAAAAACAAAAACAAAATGTATGTGTTTATTGACTTGTTGTAAATTTCAATAAATTAGAAACAGAATGACACCCAAAGATGATAAGGTAAAAAATGATGATTTTTGGTGAATAAAAACATCTCTGGAGCAAATTTACTAGCCAGAAGTATATTACCAAATTACTTTTAAGCATAAATGCAATTACTGATGTAAAATGCCCGAAATATTTCGTTAATATAGAAAAAATCCCCATTTAGAAAACAGAAAGATTGAGCGAAGAAATATTTACTTTTCAATTAGATCCTCATCTCTGTCTCCACTCTAATATATATATATATATATATATATATATATATATATATATATATATATATATCACAATAGACAACAGTTTACCAATCAAGTGGCGATAAGTTTGTTAACAATAATTAAACAGTGTCAATATGTCAATGGGTTGATAAAAAAAGTTGTATTATTCAGGATTACTCACACTACCACCACAAACACTGCATTAGACTTTGGTAGACCTTTGTACTTTTTCGCATTTATAATTATTTTGTGTTTATCCTGTTTTTCTTTTGTTTTTGTTTTTTGCTGTTGGTGTCTTCAGATTTATTTTTTTGTTTGTTTAATACTTATTTTAAATGTCTGTAAAATTAGATGCAAATATTGTAGATATGTGCTGAAAATTCCACACTGTACCACTAGTACTGTTTCTGGAATAAAGCAAATTATTATTATTATTATTATTAAAATTAACGAAGAAAATCAATACACATTTAAAAGGTAGAAATGGTTAGAATAAATTAATTTTACAAGGATAACACGTAATTAAAGATGAAGTGGTCAAAATAAATAAAAATAAAATAATTTGGACAATTATAATTTTTATAGTTCTTAAAGGTTTAGGGGGAGGGGACGACGTAGTCCTGTTTATGCATTCTTGTAACGATGGGTACGGTAAGGAAAGTGGCTGCACAAATTTCTTCTGAACACATAGGCTTGGCTTCTTTAGGTGGATTCAGATTGCTTCAGCTGTCTGTAGAAGACGAACTCTTAGAGCAAAGTTAAGATTGGTCGGAATGCGATAAATAATTTTAAATGCAGTATTCACATCAACCTTGTGCTCAGTATCAACAAGGTGTGCTAAAATAGAACTACGAATAGATCTTGTTTGTCCCTTGCTTAACCATGTTGGATGATGTTCGGAAATACGACGATGAACCTGCCTAATTGTACGCCCAATGTAGCTGGCTCCGCAGCTGCAGTCAAACTGGTAGATACACATAAAAGAGGCAAATTTAGGTAGTTTATCCTTATTTCTCGAACGTAGAATAGGGGTGGTTGTGAAG